GAGAGACAGGAGGAAATGACAGTGTCAGCATTGCTCATGCATTACTTCTCCAGGAAAAGAAGTTTTATGCAGCTGCTAATGGGAGAAGTTAGGTTTCTGAGTTTGTTTTTGAATTATTTTTACTCTGGGTGGAAAATAATTCCTTACAAGAGTTACTGATACAACGAGAACTGGAATTTTGCAGATGGAAGAATATTGCTGGCTTTCATCTTTCCTGTCTATTTCCTTGTTCTGTCCCCATAGTACAGAAGTTTCAAGATTGATTAAACCATATGGAAAAGAAATTTTATGGGATCCAAAGATCCTAAAATCTTATCTAAAGGCTGACACTTCAGACTCAAATAGCTGCTACTGAAAATTTTACTGTTGACAATGATAGGCAAAGACTGAAGAGGAGTTCAGATTGTTTTTTATTATAGCAGTGCAACACCTAATTTTAAAGTGTTTGGACTTTGAAACCGAATTCAAAACATTGAGACCTACATACTCTGAACAGAGAATGTGGATTGCATGTTTAGAAGGCCAGTACAAAACTCTGGGTGCTGGCAGGCCTGCTTTTATCCTGCTTTCAGACAGATAACGGTCAACCAGAAAAGCTTATTCAGTCTGTGTTGTGCAGTATTCTTGAGGAAAGGTGTCACAGCTCTCCTGCATCCACAAAATGCTTAGTCTATCTTTTTAAGCAAAATTGTGGTGTTCATGTTACATGGTAGGAGTGATCACACATATCAAGTTGTATGGTAGGAAGCTGCATGCATGTTTCAGTTTGTGACCTTGATGAACACTGATGAAGTGACAGAAGAAATCTGCTAAGTGTACCTTTATGGAAATGGTTAGGACCAGTCCCATCTGTCTGAGAGACTGACCACCCTGTGTTGCACTTGGTGTGGAGAGGCTTCTAGGAGCAGTAGAAGCTCCAAGCAAACTGGTGTGTCTAGACTTCTCATTCTATGAGATATTTTTATCACCCAAGAGGCTTATGTGCCAATTACTAACATGCTGGGTGCCTGTCTGTGCTTAGCTCTGCTTTCTTGAATTCTTTTCTTCTTGTTTTCTGAAAGGATGTTACAAATCAGTGTGATGTCTGTGCAGATACTTCCTTTGGATTTCATCAGGCTAGAAAGCTTCTGGACACCCCTTTCAGTTGGCACTCCCAGAAATGTATGCTCAGGGAGGGAGAGACTTGCTGGTTCAAATTATCCAGCTGCATTACAATTCTAGTAAGAGGGATAAGAACCCATGTACAAAAACTATGCCTAACTATTGGAGGAAAGGAAGATGTTGATCTCCAAATTATGGAGGCTATTTTGTATAGGAGCTAAGTGTTTACTTATTCCAAGCATCTTGGTATTGATAATTTATGGCACACTGCCTTCTATGGTGCTATCTACAAATGTTCCTTGACCACCAGCACATCTGTCCTCTATTTCTAATGCCGGTTGGAGCCTTCATCTGCACCAGCAAACAGCTTGTTATTGGGATGTCTACAAGCATCAGTAAAGGCTAAATCTAATCTGTGATCTTAAAAAAAACAAGATAAATGCCAGAAGTGAGGTTGGTCTTGTGACTCATTAACACTGGACCCTTTTGCATTTTTATGATGATACCTATTTTCTCCTTGTCTTACGCACTTTTCTTGTGGAGTATTGTGTCCCTCTTTAGCAGTGAAGCTTTGTGTATAGAAACGCTATTGGGTAGAAACCATAGAACTATGGAGCAGGAAAGGAGGTGCAGGGTAATTAAGGTGAAAAGCTTCCATCTCTGTTTTATAGATGCCACACTTGAGCTCCTGAGACTTGTTTCTTTTTGAATACTTGATACATCACAGTGTTCAGTGTGTCTTCCACACAAACAATTATAATGAGTTGCTGCTTCTAAATTGTATCTGGGACTCTCTGGAGTCCAATTCTCAGATGTAACATAGAGAGTTTCAAGGTAGGTACCCCATAATGGGGAGCCCAGACTGAGTGACTGTTTCTGAGGAGTTAGTGACCTGTCTGGTATTACTTAGAAATTCTGAGAGAGGAAAGGGTGGAATCCAGTTTTCAACACTACAAGCAAACATCTGGATCATGGTTTCTTTCTCAACATTTCAGAAGCCTGTCTTTCATTCAGTGTCCCATCTGTGTCTTCTGCAACAGGTGAGGCATCAGTTTGACTGAAATACTCAGTCCAGATCCATGTCTAGAGACAGATTTGTTTCCTGCATGGAGCTGCAAAGCTGAGACCTTAATTTCAAGCCTATGACTTCGTTGTTCGTGATTTCCTGTGCACAGCACATAGGGAAATTGAAATTGCTGGAGGAATGTAGCTAGTTACTGCATGGCACACAGTGTGTCAGATATATACACAGAGAGAGAGATATACCATGCACCTTTAAGAAACAGGAATGGTTTATTTGTGACCATTTATAGTGATTTTCAGCAAATTTCTTTTATATGTTAAGAAAGGAATTCACACAGATGCATCTTAAATCTGTATTATGATAATTTTCTCTCTAGCAGCTCACAATTTGAGGGGATGTGTTATTTTGTGTTAAGATTTTTCTCAAGTGTGATGATTCAAGATGTACTCTAGGTGTAAATAAGGAGTATTGAGTCATGCTGGTTATAAAAATAGGGTTTTGTCACTGTAGGTGAGTACTCAGGATCTACCTTTCACGTGTCATCATCAGCTGCAAAACAAGACATCAAGGATGCCATTGAAAACTATGGGGTGCAGGTATGTAAAACCAATATTTTAAATTGGAGTCTGAATTGGCAAATTGTATTATACACAAAGCTAAACAAAACTTACCAGTCAGTGAATAATGCTAAAGGGAGAGTCCTGTAGATGAAGATTGTATTGCAGTCTGAAGTAAAGTTGGATAGTCTTCTTATAGTGGGGTAAAATTCTTGTCATTATGTTGGATACTTACTGATTTGCTTCAATTTTGACCAGTGTTTTTCCTTTTGTGTAGTGCTGAGAAACAGTGCAGTCAAATGCATTTTTTTTTTCCCCCTATGCAAAATGCACATTCAAGTGAAGAGGGAGATTTGTCTATAATATGCTGATCTGTTTGATTAAGCATGCCTGGTCTTCCTCTTTGTAAGAGAAAGATCAAACAAAAAAACCTGTAATTTGGTGACCTTTTTTATGCTTTCCCTGCCTCTGTGAAATATGCACTTGTTTGGCTATGTTAGTAAGTGTTTGAAAAGGGTTTTGTTTTCAGAGGGCGTTCTAGAGCGGAGTGAAGCAGGCATCCTGTTTGTGTTGGGCATGTAGGACAGAGCTGGATAGAGGGGTCTGGAGTCTTCTGTAACACCTCAAGGGACAGTGGAGCAAATTATTTCCACCCGACACCCAGGCACCATGAAAGAGGGACATGCTTAATTTTAACATGCAGAGCACAGAACTTAAGCCTATGGGAAGGGAGTAGTAGTTGGGCAATGACCTTGAGACTGGAGAGGCTGAGATGGTGGCTGGCTGAGGTGCTTCTTCCCTGTTCTGAAAGGAGGAATTTTTGCAGAGGGAGAAAAGGGCCTGGCTAATGAGAAAAGAGGGAGGAGTTGCATGGTCCTAGCCCGTTGGGGCACCAAGGCTGCAGACCGTATTTAGAAGGCATCACGAGCTAAGGAGGCACGTGGGGAGGGACCGTGTTGCAAGGAATATGACACATGACAGCAGCAGTCAGAACTGTTGGGGAACAGAGCATGAGGTCAGGGATGTGAGGAGACTGGGTTGGGGTTGATGCATGGTATGGTTTTCATACAAGCTTGGGTTCCTGTTGTTGGGATGAGAGAAGGAATTAGGTTTCCCTAATAAATGCTTTTCTTTGGAGCTTGGAATGGAATTTTATATTTTTGAATTTTGAGGGAAGAGATAGTCCTAGCCTAGCCAATTCTCCATGTGGTGGATAGTAAAAAGCTTGTCATGTTCATTCACACTGTATCAGCTTAGCTGGCAGGGGACTGTAAAATGCCAGACAGTAGAGAATGATGGAGAAAGGAGGGTGAGAAAATGTAGGCAGTTGTAATGAAAAATGGTATTAAAGCAATAAAATGTGGAAAAATAAATTGCTCTGTGACAAATGCCACCAGTTACAGAAAGCAGGCAGGCTAAAAGGCAAAAGCAACCCTAATGTCTAGACAAATCTAGTCCAAGAAAAACTGTTGTCTCTAAAGTAAGTCCTTCTACTTTTAAGGAAATGATGATTTAGTGAGCCTTTAATTTAGTATTCCTTGATTTTTATTACTAAAATTGCTTTCAGAATGTCTTCTTTCTGTTATAAGGATGAGTTTGGAACAGAAATTACCTAGATTAACTGTAACTTCCTTTGTCTTGGTAATCTTTCTGTCTGTACCTGTTTACTTAAGGATAAATATATTTTAGAATCTACCAACTTGATAGAAAAAACAGCATATGAAAATCAGACTGACAAAGCAGAAATTTCACATCACAAAGCCCTAGCAGAAAATGAGGAATCGCACAGTGCTGACAAGCACATAATTCCAAAACCTTGGGAAGAAAGATACGAAAGAATTTGGGTTGAAAATGAGAAAAGGGAATTGAAAACAAATTTTAAAAACATTACAGCAGAGCTGAAGCAGCTGTTTGGTGAAATTAATGAAACTGGGAAAACTACTTCCCTTGTGGAAGAAATGTCAGAAGATGGCTTCAGTGAAGAATTGAAGAGTTCTCGTGTTGTTTTATCTTGTGCAAGAGAATCAAGTAATAAGTTAGAAAGTAAAGGTGAATTTGGAGATATTAAAGTTATGCTAGGTGGAAAAGTACCCAAAATGGAAATTGTAATTCCAAGTCTTGGTGTCATTCCTGATCAAAATAACTTAAATGCAAATGTGGAAGATATCTGGAGTACTGATGAAGAAGATAGCACAAACAGTACAGGTAATACAAAGGTGCCTCTAGCAAAAGGAGAGGAAAAGAAAATGCATACTATGGAAACAGAAGAGAATGCAAATGGAAGTAGTAGAAGTGTAGAGGGAAGGCCTGAATACTTCCCAAGACAAGGCTTAAAAGCAAGTATTTCAGATGACATTTCTAATATTCTTCCTAAAGTAAGACCTGTTTCTACAAGTGATGAAAAAGCACTTTTTGCAACAGAAAGGAAACCTGGGAAAGACTCTGGATTTAATGATGGTGTTCCCAGGGACTGCCTTATCGACAATAATAAAATAGGAGAAACAGAAATTGAAAGTCTTTTTGAAAATGCTCAGCAATCATGTGGCATGCTGAAAAGGAATATCGATGAAGAACTAAAACAAGATTTGGAAAGATTTAAGAGTAAGGTAGGAATGCTGCAAATACTATTCCTGTCTTTGGAGAAAGAGAAGGTGCAGCTGCAAAAAGAGGTAGAAGTTTACCTGCTACTCCTTATTCTTTAGTCTTTCTCGGTATCAATGGTCCTGTTCACTTTAGCTATTCATCATTAAGGGGAGATGTTTTGTGCAAATTGGTTTTTTGTTTTGATGGAAATACATTACTTGTGAATATAGAGAGCAGTGCAGAATTGTCCTTTTCCCCATTTTTGGAATATACAGAATGTATTATTGTTCCAGTCTAATAATAGGCGGCACTCAGTTCCAGTGTAAGTAGTTATCACTTCATTGCCATAAAAAGAAATGCACATAATTGATCAGTTCTGATTCTGAATCAAAGAAATGAAAATAGCTTCTGAACAGGGTCTTGACTACTCTATTCATTTGCTGTGATTTCTGCATGTTGTCTTCATTGTCCTTCACTAAAATTCTTGTTTGCTGTGAAACCATTTCTGCTTGTGGGTTTGGGGTTTTTTTTTTCAATTTTTCCCCCCTTTAAGGAAGCAGTAGCTCAGCACACTTCCACTTAATTTTTTGTGTTTTTTTACAAATAACATCGTGCAGTCCGCCTAACTCTTTGTCCGTCAGTAACGCTTTCACTTTTTTGTTGTTCATGTTTTAAGATACACTATTGTTTTCTTTCCAAGGGCTATGTTTTTGTTATATCTTTAATCATGAGTGAATTCAAAGTGCTTTCAATGACTTAATATGCTTTGTAGTGTAATTTTGTGAAAATGTTTCTCTATATGAATTTAAAAAATTTGTTTCAGAGGTAAACCCTGAATTACACAATTTTGGATATGGCATTTCTCTCTTCTAGAAATACTGAGAAATATATGAAGCTTAACTTTGTTTTTATAGGTTGAGCTGGAAAAAAGCAAAGAAAGATGTTTCAAAACACAGGAGGTGGCAAAACAGGAAAATCTTGATAAATTAAATACACCACCAGGCAACGTTACTGATCAGCAAATGAAACAAAAGCTTACTCTAAGGAAGAATGACTGTTTGAAAATGGAGAATGAAAACGCTATAGAAGAAAAAGACAAAAAGAATTTAGAAGAAAAAGACAAAAAGAATTTTTCACCTGAGGAGAGACCAAAATTGATTAAAATGCCAATGAAAGGGTAAACTAAGGAAATAATCTCTAATTCTTATTTGTAGTACTACTTAAGTATCTTTTAGGTTTTCTAATATTGTAGTAGTTGAAGTAGTTTCCTCAGTGCTGAAAGCCATACTGAGTAGTCCACTGCTTCTGAAACATTTAAGAAAAAAAAAAATTTAGAAAAAACTAAGCTCATAGTGGAGGTGCAAATTTATTGCCTACTTTAAAAAAAAAAAAAAAAAGAGGAAAGGAAAAAAAAAAAAAAAGAAACCAAATTCCTGTAGATTTCCTTGTCAATAGTGAAGCAAAATGCATCCTCAAAACCAGTTCAAGACTGGAGAAAACAGTTATTTTTGTAGGAAATGGCCATCCAGAAAATAAAAGTAGAAACTTACTTTTTACTTTGCTTTCTCCATTTTGTAGGTGACTTTAGTGATCTCTATGTAGTTAGTGTTTTTCTTTTCATTAAGTTCAGATGCTCTTTGTCAGGAAAAGGGAAAAGATTATATTACCAAACCAGTCTCAAATGTTTGAAGAAGGCGCAGATATTTTTGTAACCTGAAGCAGGAGGTTTTTTCTGTCTGTCCTTCAAAGAAATCTCTGCTCTAAATACTTCCTATAATGGGGTATCTAGTATGTTCCAGCTTACCTGAATCGAGCTCAGATTCCCCGTTTTCTGCCCTCATTCCTAGGGGAAGGTTTGTTAAATACTTGAGTATCTTCCACGATCTTTGGAGTCAAATCTGTGTTTTATCACAGATATTTTTCGTCTCAGTTGTTTATGGACATCATCTTAAATATGTCTGTTTCACAGAAATATTTTTCTGTAAAGCTACCCAATTGGTGACTTTTTTCTTCTGTTTAACATAGTAAATTTGCCCTGAATGCCAAAGTTGCAAAGAAAAATAAAAGACAGACTTCAAAGCAGAAGGCTAATCAGCAGATGAGCTCTTCCAGTGGCAATCACTTTCAAGTACTGGATGATAGCACTTTCAGTGAAACGTCTCAAGATGATGGAAGGTACTGAATATACGGAATGTTAGAAATAAAACTTACTTAATGATAAAAATTGACCTGAAAGCAAGTTTTGTAAACCTGATGTGTACCATGATTCTTGTTCTTTCATGTGACAATACAACCTGTTGCTCTTTGTGTTCAAAAACACTTAATTTTTGCTTAGAGTGCTGTGACCATACTAGCTAATTAATTATAAGGTCACATGTGCATAAATTCTGAATAGTTGCCTGAGTGTGTGTGCATGCATAAATATATATGTTATATTTTTAAAAAGGGAGAGGAGAGGCTTATAAAAGAGCACAGCTACTTTTTTACTGCAGGCAGCTTTTTTCTGTCTTTTTTTTTTCCCAGCTGTGTCCCCTCCCAGTTCCTTGCCCACCCCAAACTTAGTTTTGTGAAAGGCAAAGTGAGAAACAGTGTTGACGCTGTACAAGCACTGTTCAGCAATAGCTGAAACCCTGGTGTTATCAACACTGTTTTGGTCACAAATCTAACGCACAGCACTGTGTGGGCTGCTATGAAGAAAATTAACTCCGTCCCAGTCAGACCCAGTACACTAGAGAATCCAAAATTATGATTCTTTGACCTGTAAGAGAAGGATTCTCAATATTGAAAAGAGCTAAACCTCTAGTATTAAACAGATGAGCGCACATAACTGTATATCTACGTATATGTAACTGTAAGATTCCTATCATTTTGAGTGAAGTGCAGAGAACAGCTATTTCAACTATTTTTGTTTAGTATCTTGTGGAAAAAATAGCCTTCCAGTAGACATAATAGTACACACTTTTTTGTCAGTCTTCAACTACATCTAACAACATTCTTATATTAAATTTTAATTTAATTCACTTCTGAAATTAAGTTTCCAGAGCAACTTTAGATATTGTTCATAATGCAATATAAGCATTCTAGTACTGAAATATATTTCTGTTTTCCAGACTTGCAGCAAAAACAGGGAGTGAAAAGAACAAGGTACTGTAAAATAAGTTTCTTGATAAACAGTTTGTATCATCTTTTAATCACTTAGATGGGAATAGTGTTTATGTAGTGATCAACCAGATGCACAAATTGCTGTTAGTATGCAGCTTTATCATATTTGAGCCAAATCTACGGGCTGTGAATGAGAGAATGAACCATTCATGTATCTGTAATAATTATATAGCAGTATACAGAAAATACTGTATTGTTTGTAGGTCAGCATACAGATGGATGTAACTGATGACCTTGATTTAACTCACTCATCTGACACAACTTCAGAGGATGTTGAATTGCCAACTTCAATCTACAAAGAGGCTATGTTGCTGTTAGAACAGCTGAGTGTGGATCATACGGGTATGTTTTCAAGTCATTTTATCTTTAGCTGTTACAAGTTCCTCTTAAAACATGATTTCTTTGTATGTACTACTAGGTATTTCAGTTTTACATTTCAATCTAATATTTCTTTATGATTGGAGACCCCTCTCAAAAGATTTGAATTTTCTCACCTAACCTTAGATGTCTGCCTGTATTGTCAGCAAAGATGCCTTACTTTATTGTTGGTTCTCTGTCTAGTCAGAGCTGGAGAAGCAGGTTCTTGCAAAGTACAGTTCAGCTCCATCTAATGCAGTCATCAAAAGTTAGCAAGATCTTCTTTTTCCCCTTTATATCCCCTCAATAGCTAATGACAAATAGTACAGCGAAATAACAGCTTTGCTTAAAAATATGTATGTATAAAAATCAGCTGTCATAAGATGCTTGCATATATACGCATAGCATTATATAAACATAAGCATCACTTACTACATCTGTTAAACTATGCTAAAATATCATTAGGCAAGGGTTAACCTTGGCTAAAGGCTAAACTCCCATCCAGTGAGAGCTGTTTTCTCACTGCTCCTCCTCAACAGGACAAAATAGGATGAAAAAGCCTGAGGGTCAATAGAAAGGCAGGGCTATCACTTAGCTGTTACTGTCCCAGGCAAAATACTCCACTTGGGGAAACTTAACTTAGTTACAATTAAAATAAGTTTGGATAATGAGAAACAAAGACAAAAAAAAATAAAAGAACACCTCCCCACAGCCCCCTTCAGGTTCAACTTCTCTCCTTCACTCCTGAATGGTGAAGGGCTTAGAGCACAAGTCTTATGAGGGGTGGCTGCAGGAACTGCGGTTGTTTAACTTGGAGAAAAGGGGTATTGGGGAGACCTTATTGCTCGCTACAACTACCTGAAAGGAGGTAGTAGCCAGGAGGGTGTTGGTCTCCTCTCCCAAGTAGCAAGTGATAGGATGAGAGGAACTAGCCTCAAGTTGCACCAGGGGAGGTTTAGATTGAATAGTAGGGAAAATTTCTTCGCCGAAAGGGTTGTCAATCATTGGAACGGGCTGCCCAGGGAAGTGGTTGAATCACCATCCCAGGAGGTATTTAAAAGATGTGTAGACACGGCCCCTGGGGACATGGTTTAGCGGTGGGCTTGGCAGTGCTAGGTTAATGGTTGAACTTGATGTTCTTAAAGGTCTTTTCCAACCTAAATGATTCTATGATTCTGACTCCCCTACCCCTCCCCAAGCAGTGCAGGGAGACTGGGGTCTGCAGTCAGGATGTAGCAGTTTCCCTCTGCTGCTCCTTTTTCTTCAGACTTCTTCGCTCCACTGCAAGTCCTTTCATGGGCTGCAGTCCTTCAGGGGAAAATCTGCTCCAGCTTGGGCTCTCCATAGGCCACAGGTCCTTCAGGAAATAACCACCTGCTCTGGCATGGAGTCCTCTGCAGTGGTGCATTGTGGATATCTGCTCCAGCATGTCCCTCTCCAAGGGCTGCAGAGAAGTACCTACTCCACCATGGTGTCTCCAGGGGCTGTAGGGGAGTCTCTGCTCTGGCACCTGAAGCACCTCCTCCCCCTCCTTCACTGACCTGGGTGTCCACAGGGCTGTTTGTCACATTCTTTTCCCCTCCTCCTCTGCCTGCGTGGCATTTTTGCCCTTTCCTAAATACATCTTCCCTGAGGTGTGGCCACTGTGGCTGAGTGGCTCAGCTGTGCCCTGCAGTGGGTCTGTTGGAACTGGCTGTGTCCAGCACGAGGCAACCCCTGGCCTCTTCTCAGAGACCTCCCCACTACCTGCAGTCTTCCCACTACCAAAACCTTGCCACCTACACCCAATACAGCAAAGCATTAAATAATTTACACATTGGAAAGTATTTGTGCATATGTGCAGCTTTGTGTCTTTTCTATCTCAAAATAGGTTCTGCTGTTTTGTTGAAAATTCAGAACATACTTCTTGAATATGAACAGATAATAGAACATGAAAAAAATCGGTATACAGCTGTCTGGAGAGCAGTAAGGAAACTGGAAAGTGAAAAGGAGGAGTCACAATTAATGGTGGAAGAGACTAAAGATTTGAAATCCATATTGGCTCACCAAGAAGTAGAATGGAAAAGTGATATCCAAACCCTTAAGTATGTAATCTTGCATTCTGATAATGTGTTATCCTGTTAGTGTTTCTGACCAGAGGATGCTGATGGTACAGGTGATAGGATGAGAAGTTTCTAGTCTTTTGGGTTTGGGTTTTTTGAAACCCATGGGCAAGTTGTATTATATAGGACATAATATCGGGGGGCAAAAAATGCCTGGGTATTAGCTCCATCTAAAAACTTCTGGATGTTGTTTTAACTTTTTTTAATGCAAGAAAAGAAAACAAGAGAGTTTGTATGGAAAAAATGAGTTTTATAAGAGAGGAGTTTTTTATTTTGTCTTTGCAGCTTCTGTTGCTGTGTAATATTAGGAATTTGGGTAACTCAAAATAGAGCTTAGAGCATTTGTTTACTTGTCTTTTTATTTGAAAGGGCAAATTTGGGATTGCCCCTTTCCCCATACTCCTGAGCTAGACCTGGATGGTGTGAGGTTTTTAATCACTGTTCACATCACTTCAGACAAGAGTGGCCAGCAGGCACCATATGAAGTTCAGCAATGAACTTGGGAAGGAAGATCCCCTTGTGATGATGTACCGTGGGATGGCCTGGCTGGGGAGCTTGCTGAGAAGGTCCTGGTGGTCTTGGCAGAGAGCAAGCTCAACTTGAGCCAGTGTGAGCTGGCAGCTGAGGAGGCCAGCAGCATTCTGGGCTGTATTAAGAGCAGCAGAGCCAGGAGATTGAGGGGAGTGATTGTCTGCCCCTACTCAACACTTGCTGACCCGTGTCTAAGAGCACTGGGTCCAATTTTTGGCCTGCCAGTACAAGAGATATCTTAATCAATATGTGTGAGTTCAGCAGAGAGCTACCAATCTGCTCAGGGAGCAGGAGTACCAGCCCTGTGAGGACAGGCTGAGGGAACTAAGCTTCAAAGAGTTGTACCTCCTAGCATGTGGAACAGGATTATGTGGAACACAAAGCCAGTCACAACTTAGCCTGGATTTGACTCCAGCCATTTTTCAAAATTCTCAAATATCTGTCAATTGCAAAGAATTAATATTTTCATTCTAAATAAATTCTCAAAGCAATGTTAACTTTGCACTTACAAAAGCTATGCTTTTTGTGAAATTACACTAAAGACTACATGTAAAGCTTTTTCCTTGCAATATAAACTATTCAAATATAAATGTTACTGTCAATCTTACGAATAATTTATTAGTGGTTGCTGATAGTTGTTTTGCAGAATTCCTAAAGCAGATTTTCAATTGGCAGCTCTTTCCTTATTAATACTTGCTTTTTTTTTTTGTTGACTGATGCAAGGATATCAGAAAAAATATCGAAAATAATTATCAAACATAAAACTGCTTTCTTGTTGGGGTACCATGAAGACACTATGGACAATTTTTTACCATGTTGGTGCTTATTGCTGGTTGTTTCAGATAGTAAAGAAGCTGACATTCCCTAAGACTTTCATTATAAATTAACTTCAAAATTAGATTGCTATTGTTTCTCCCAGATGTAGATCCATTGAAGTTTAAAACTATTTAGTCTTGTTGAGCTTAAATCCTATGCATCTCTAAATCTATTTTTGAACACTGACCTCATTCTTGAGTAAATAGAAACTGCCTCCTCTTCCTATGGTCAGCAGTTGGTTTAGGCTCACAGAAGGCTTGCTAAACAATTGTTGGGTCTGTCACAGATAAGTGGTGTGCTGCTTCATTCAGTATTACTTGCAATCACTGAATCCATAATATGTAGGCAATGCGCAGCATATTAAGAAAAGTGTATATTAATCATAGTAAAAGTTTATGATGCTTTGATCTGATAAGACAACAGACTTGGCAGTGCTAGGTTAACAGTTTAACTTGATGATCTTAAAGGTCTTTTCCAACCTAAACCATTCTATGATTCTATAAGCATCTATAATATGAAGATGATTTAAGAATTATAGAAATGTGCATACTACTGTATATTTACTTATGTAAACTTACTTACAAATAAATGATAAATCACTCAACAGCTTATTTCTGTATTTTGTACAACTGATACTATGGATAATGGAATGAAGTTAGAATTCTTTAAAAAATTAAAAATTATAGTAAAAATATGAAATCTGAAAAGATTTAACATTTTCATGGTTTAAGTTTTTATGGTTTAAGTCTCCACAAGTTCTGAATGTAGAATATCTACTTTTTTTAACAGTACTCTAGTTTCTCAAATATTCTGTTAAATCCCAGATTTACTTTGAAACAAGAAGAGGAAAAGAGACTCAGAGTAGAAACACTATATGAGAAAACAAGAGAAAAACTCAGAAGAAAAGAAGATCAATGTTGTAAAGAGATGGAGGAGAAACAGCAACTTGAGTTACACTCAAGGAATTTAGAAATGGAATTGTTAACGTTGAGAAAGGTCTTGAAACAGGTATATTAAATAATGAGTTAAACACTTGTCTTAGTTTTTGCTTCTTTTAATTGATATTGTGTTCTAGTATGCCTAAAGAATGAGGTACTTTTAGCAGTATTTATCCAATGCCGCCTCACTTTTGAGAATAGTTGCAAACAGTTGGTTCACAAGTGGATTGCTCTTGGGCGGGCTTTTTTTTTCCCCTTTGCAGGTTCATGATTCCTTTTCTCCTTTTGCAAAAGTGGGGTTTCATTTGTATTTCAGGCAAAGCCTGATTTTGAGTTATATTTTATAAATTACTATGAAACATTTTGTATCTCTTATTTTGTCAGAAGAAAATTAAAATTTATTATTTATAAATGGATTATCATAACTGTGGGGAAGTAAAAGTATTTGGAAGAATACAAGGGAGGATGGGAAGATATTGCTAGCTCTGATTTTTCTCAAGATGCAAGTAGTTTAATTGTATTACTGTAGGTTGAAGAAGAGCGTGATGAAACGCAGAGGCAGCTCTCTCAGGAAAAGAGTGCCAGAGCCCTGCAAGAAGGAATTTTGAACAACCACCTTTGGAGACAGAAGGAACTAGAAGAAGAGACAAGAACCATAGGAAAAAATGCAGAGGTAAGCAGTTCTGTTTTTTCTAATTAATTAAATTTCACTATGTCTGTTCTAAAGTCCTAATAAATCGATGTAACTTTTTTCTGCTTCTTGATGAATTATTTACAGTTTACTAATGTAACTTAACTGTGTAAATACCTTTTCTTTTTCCCTCATGTCTTTAAAAGTTCTGGAAAGCAGCATCAGTCCTGTATGTACCTGAATTGCATGTGCAAGTAGGAAACTAATAGAAAACACTCTTTACCCCATTTCTTAAGCTATCTATTATTTTTCATTTCATAGACATTTTATCGTCACTTTTTAAGGTTTCTAGCAATTAAACACCTAGCTACCTTATGTAAAGGTTGACCAGGAAGAAAATTATTTGTTTGAAAGTTGTTCTTACCAGATTTATATCAGAGCTAAATTAACCTTAAAGGGAATATTCTAAAGGCATGTACATTTTAAATAATTTTATTATTTGGTTGCTGGTTTAAGAAAAAAAAAAAAAGAGGCATTGTATATTTGGGATGTTCTTTTAGAGTTTAAGGGTATGTTACACTTCCAGCGTGTGCATACACTGTTCACGTGCATGGGTTCACAGAGTAGCTTATATATTACCTGAAGTTTCACTCTCATCTTTGAAGTCATGCTTCAGTATTAGAAATGTTAAAACACAGTTGTTTGCTGAAGTGTTTTGGTAGAGTCATTTCCCAAATGGCTATTTATTCATGTTCCCTGTCATTCAGGAATCCGACACCGAGAGAGAAAAGGATCTCCTGTACAAAAATCAGTTACTACAAGATGAGATTGCTATGCTAAGACTAGAACTTGATCAAGTACGACTTAGGCACCAAGAGGAAAAAGGAAAATATTTAGAGGAAACTGAGACCTTGAAAGAAAAGAATGAAGATCTCAAAAAGGAACTTAAACTGAACGAGGAAGCCTTAACACAAACAGTTTTTCAGTACAATGGACAGCTGAACTTATTAAAGACAGAATCTGCAGTGCTGACTTCCAAACTTGAGCAGACAAAAGAAAGCAAAGACAGACTAGAGACAGAAATTGAATCATTTCGTTCCCGCCTGACCACTGCCGTTCAAGAACTTGAACGTCATCAGTCAACAAAAAGTGATGTCGAACGAACGTTTCAGAGAGAACGTGATGAATGGCTTCGCTTGCAAGACAAGCTTCATCATGACCTCTCTGATGTGCGAGAAACCAACAAGAGCTTATCTCAGCAGCTGAGTAAAGCTGAAAGCAAAGCTAATAGTCTAGAAAATGAGCTTCACCAGTTGAAACAAATGCTCAGAGAAAAAACATTGCTTTTAGAAATGACACAAAAAGAATTAAGTCAAGCCCAATGTCAGGCAAAGGAATGTGATCATGCTCGACAACTTGAGAAAGATCAAGTAAGCAAATTTATAATAAAGCAGGAATCCATGCAGGAGCGTTTGGCCCAGCTCCAGAGTGAAAACCTTTTACTCCGTCAGCAACTGGAAGATATGCAGAACAAGGGGATCATCAAAGAAAAAGTAGTGAATGATGTGCAGGACCGATTTAATGATATTTTCAACAAACTCAGAGCTGATACTGAAAAGCAAGTTTACCTAGTAGAAGAGAGAAACAAGGAATTAAATGCCAAGTGTACTGATTTACGAGACCAAGTCTTTAAATATGAGACTGACAAAGTAGAAAGAGAGGTAAAGTATACACTTGTAACAATTTAAAGTTTGTCAGTTCCAGAACTCCAGCAGTGTTGTCGGTTGTTTTAATCTGTGAATTACTTTGTATTCTTACTACCAAAATAACAGGTTCCTTCTGAAGACACTAGATATATAGTGAAATATCTGAACTATCCAGATTATTGTAAACCTAATCTGTCAGTATGAAGGCAATTGTTATTTTAAAATGAACTCAGTAAGAAGACTGCAAGGGGATGTGATTCAACGTATACTTAAAGTTTATCTCAAAACAGCTTTCAGATATATGTATTCATTCAATTGTATTTGTACAATGGAGGAATAGAACAAAGAACAGTCTAATACAAAGTCCTGCCTTTGGTCATCAGAGTACTATCTGCAGTCAAAATATATCTCTTACATCGCCACAGATTTGTTTGGACTTTGTTAGAAAAAAGTACATGATTGCAGTGTTTGCTTGTGTATTGTTCTGAGAAGAGTAATACTTGAGCCTCTTTTATGTATTAGGCAGCGGAAATCCTCATGAACAGCTGCTGATAGTTTGGAGGTGCTCAGCTGAGAAAGATGGAAAGGTCCTAATCTGTGCAGATGCCTGCTGGTGGCAGGCAAAATTTCATACCTTTGAGTTCAATCAGAAGACAGCTCTAGTTGTATAATCAAATACATTAAAGGCATATTTCATGTTCTTCCAATTTTCTTCATGCTCACTTAACTCTTTCATTAGGGCATGGTCAGACAGCTGCAGCAGGAGCTTGCTGATGCGCTTAAAAAGCAATCTATGTCAGAAGCTTCACTTGAAGTTACTACGCGTTACCGCAGTGACCTGGAGGAAGACAAATTACGCTTGCAAAAGGAACTGGAAAAGGTTAAAACCAAGGTGCATAATGTCTGTAGGTATACGAACGAATCTGAAGGTGGCTGTTGAAAGTAAGAGTGAATGTTGTCCTAAAACCCTAGAAACAACTTCAGTAGGATAGATTTAATTATGTGCAAATGAATTGCATGGTTTTATAAACCTGGTGCCTGTGATCGGGAGGTGTTTGACATGAGGTCACTACATCCTCACTTGCACAAAAGTTTGTATTCACTAAGGTGCTTTGCAAAACAAACTGATGTATCTATAGCTTATTGCATTTGGCTTGGCCAAGCAGGTTGTCTGATTTCTGAAGAATAGTAGAAACAGTGGACTGTTGAATTTGGGCTTTTTTATACTGTCTATGCTTCCTTCTCCTCACCCTGCTACCAGGTAACACATTGTCAATTCTGAATGCTTTTGTAACTTATTTTGCATATACCCACCCCTCCCATCCCCCACTTCTTTGGCCCTGCTGTGACTTGCTGTC